ACCGAAAGCACGAGCCCAGCCCCAGCCAAAGACCAGGTTCAAATAAACAAAGGCTGAATATTGGAAGTCATCGGTGCCCGTGGCTCTCGCTTAGAACAAAAGGAAGGAAGCGGGATATAAACAGTCGGAGGAACAGCAGCGCACGGCAAGGCTGGGAGATAAGAGCGAGGCACGAATATGCTGGTGTAAACGCTCCCCAGAAGGACGAGGAGGCTTGGGTGGAACCTCCCAGCCCCTTCGTGGGTCTTGCACCTCAACAACAATTTATTTATTGCAACGTTTGACAGCCATAGAGCCCTGCGAAAAGCATCTCCCTCTCTCTCTGGAGGAAGAACTCCGGGCTTTCCTGGGCTCACACGCTGAACGGGAGCGAGCAGCCTCCCTCTGATAACTTCCCGGGCCTCTGTTTGAGGGGCTCTGCAGAAAGTGACAGCTCTCCCCTGCGACAAAGAGGAGCTGGAAAGGAGCTCACGCTGGTGTCAGCTGCCAGACGCCGGCTGAAGCACTCACCTCCACGCTGCTAGAGCCGGCTGGGTCGGCAGCAAAGCCCTGGCATGGCCCAAAGCCTTGGCAAGGGAGACTTTTTTTTTTTTAAGCCTCGGTAAATAACTCTCATAAAACACAGAACAGCAGCAATCCAACTAAAACATGGCTTCAGGTGCTCACATCTTACAGTTTGAGGTGGGGCTGGCAAGGGCTGCCCCTCCCCACCTGCTCTCTGGGTTAGGCAGCACCCAGCCAGACATGAAATAAAAAGCAGATCCCGAACGCGCAAAATCCCTTCCCACAACAGCATCAAAGGAGGACAGGTTTCTAAATCACAACAAGCAAATAGGGAAGAAAATCAACACCTCAGGGCATGGAGGTGGGAGAAGAGACTTCAGAGGGAGGGTGAGAGCAGAACCAGCCCTGCCAAGGATGACTTCATTCCAGCAGCTCTGCACCCTCCACGGAGCAGCCCCACGTGGCACACGCACACCTGAACGTGGAGTTTCAGCTGAGACAAACCTACTCAAGCTTGGAGACACCCATGATGAAAAGGTGGTAAGCAGAGAGAAGCCCCCTGGTTTTCAAGGAGCATGAGCCTGTAATTCTCAGACTAAGGAATAACGAAAATCGGACCTGTTTCGCTCTCCTGGGTGCGGTTAGTCTCCTCTTGGGAGGAGAGGGAAGAATGAACACTTACAGCTTTTAGAAGGCTGAATTGCAGCAGCATATGAAAAGCCTCCCAGCTACGTAGGCTGTGAGTTTGCACTAGTGCAGCTCGGACACAGTGTGCAGTTCTTCGGGGCCATGTAGAACATGGGCACTTCATCGCTCCGTGCGTGCCTGCGGCGCTCCTGAACCCAGCAGCCACCACACAGCCCTGGTGTCATCACTGCCACGTGGGCTTCTAACAGGAAAAAATCCTTTCTCACAGCAGCATCGAAGGAGGACAGATCTCTCACTCACAAGCAGCAAATAGGAAAGAAAATCCTCCTCTTTGAGGGCTTCAGGCCATAGCTTCAGGGGCCAGGAAAGGATCCTTTCCCCTCAGGCATCACTCTTGCATTCCTGGGGCTCCCTCCACCTCTCTGGCGCTGACTGACCGCAGCCAGGCACAAGCCACCAACCTGTACGATCACATTCTCAGAGACAGGAAAGAGGCTTTTTCCTCAAACTGTAGTTTCCAACCTGTGTATCCGTCTATTACTTCCGATAGCAACACGCAGGATAAACAAGAGCGGCGTGCCGTTGCACTGGCTGCAAGTTTGTTCCACAATGGTTGGTGTCTCCACTCCAGGTTTTTGTAAAGGAGAGAGAAAAATACCAAACCCCAACCCAAACCAAATCACGTGTGTTTCAAGTTGCTTTCTCTGCTGTGGACAGCAAACAGTCCCCAGAGCTCAGCCGGCACAGCCAGGGCACAGCCCTGTCCAGCCAGGCCTCTGGCAGAAGCCTGTGACCGCAGGAGTTTGGAAACGGCCGTTCCAGGTGCCTGACGGCTCTCTGCTCTGCACGCTCAGCGGAGCTCCTTGGGGGAAGTTTTCTCCTTCTCCCTCTATGCAGCATTGTCGAGCCCCGCTGATCAGCATTTTCCCATCGCTCCAGAGTTGCTGGATGTTGCGGCTCCCTGCGTGCCACAGCAAGGCAGGAGCTCAACCAGCAGCGCTTCTTAGCTCGGGGTGTAAAGCCTGCAAAGAAATCCAGAGGTTTGGAATGACGACGGAGACTGCAGAGCGAGAAGAGGGCGCGTGGAAGGGGTGGGGTGCATGGATGCCTGATAGGAGATACCTGCATTTAAACAACGTTCAGTAGCTTCTGTAGTGAAACGATTCATCCCCAAGAACCCCAGCGGTTGCCCTGTGCCAGGCTGAACTGGCAGGATGGTTAAACCAAAGCAGTCTCAGACGCTCCCGCTTTGTGCTCACCACCAGTTATTACGGACGGGGCAGAGGAAGGGGACACGCAAGGCAGGCTGGTACCTCTGGCACACATCAAGGAGATACTCCATCTCCGCTTCAGCCTTGCTCACAGCACACATCCTACAGACATTCCTCAGAGCAGCGTTAGTTTCTGGAAGCCCAGGTACACCTCCCACCCCTAGTCCCAGGGGCGGACAACTGCAGCGATCTTTCTGGCACCCCCAAGCTTGTCATCAACCTACAGATTGGCTGAGGGAAACCACAGCAGCTGGTGCCCACCTCGATGCCGTTTT